TAGATTTTGCACTTGTCTCCCTGAGGCATGCTGTGTTCTAATTACCCTTACAGATCTGGTGGCACTGAAAGAGTAGAAGGCAGGCATAAAGAAGATCAGTATCCCTTTGGAAAGTAACTACCTTGGTTGAAGCCATTACAGGATCTCAAGCAATAAAGAACTGAGGTCATCTGACAAGGGAGGAGGGGCTGCTGCTTTTCTTGGCCAGGGATATTTAATGGAATTTGGAGATTCAGGTTCTCAGATTCATCTCAATCCACCTAAATGTCCCCATTCCAGTTCTTCAGGTCCCCCCCCGCCCACCCTTCCCAATCAGTGCCACAACTTTCACTTAGGAAACTATTGAGGCTGTGAACTTAAGTTAAAATTCTGCAACTCACTTTGGATCATCACCCTTTGGATCTTGTTTTAAGATGTTTCAGATCTGTACCTAAAAGATACAACAGGGCCTTCTAGGGCAGCCAAGAATTTAAGACAAAAGCTAAGTTTTTTCTGTAAGCTCTGCAGGGCAATCAGAAGCAACTATCTCACACTAAAATCTCTATATTCCTCATTTCCATCATAATACTACAACACAGCAGTCACTTGTTTGGCCAAGGGCTTTGCTTGAAATAATGATTTTTTTCAAGATTTTATTTATTTACTTCCAGAGAGAGAGAGAGAGAACACAAGCAGGGGGAATGCAGGCAGAGGGAGAAGCAGGCTCCCCACTGAACAAGTATCCTGATGTGGGACCAGATCCCAGGATGCTGGGATCATGACCTGAACTGAAGGCAGAAACTTAACCAGCTGAGCCACCCAGGTGTCCCTGCAATAATGATTTCATTCTACAAGGCCATAGGTGAAAATTCAGCTATTTGCTACATGGAAAACAGTATCCCATTTCCCAGTGGTCATTAAGTTATCACTGCCTGTAAACTCAACTAGGTCAGTAACCAATTTCATATTATTACCTTTGGCAGTCTATTTCCTGATCAAATTTTGGCACTGACTACTTAATTAGATAAGGTTCACTGCATGAAATAGATACCACTCAGGTATTTCAAGCAGAGAGTGTTTTAATTCAAAGGATTAGATTATTGGTAACTTGGAGGAATGAATCAGCAGGCCACCCCTAGTCTTTGACTTCAAATTAGTATGACCTCATCTGCCATGATCACTGTCACCATTACGACTGCCTGCATTTACAAAAGTGGTGTCAAGATAGTGGATCACGTAATTCAGCTGCTGCCGACACTTATGTCTGTAAGGAGCCCATTTATATAATTGCATTACTACAGAAGGATGGCATCCACCTCCCTTATGCCTTCCAAAAATTTCACAAGTGCCTCATGTTGACAAAACCTAAATTTGTGAGGGAATCTGAGAAATGTAATTTTTAGTTCTTTAGACTCTGTAACACCGGTGGAGGGAAGAAGGGAGACATATTGAGGGGATAGAGATGGATTCATAGAACCAATAAACATCTAGCACACTAATCTAAAGATGGTACTGGCTTTCTGAAGTAGTTAATATTTAGGGTAGACTCTAGTATGTAGACTCCAAATCTCAACTCTAATTATAAATTAGAAATGTGTTCCCCAAATTCATCTGTCTATTCTTTTTGCCTCACAGGTTCCCATACTCCTTTTTTTTCTGGAAAAAAGACCAGACCCCACTTTTACATGGGCCAACAGTAATAATTCAAGCGTAATGAAAACACTTAAATGTTGGTGAATGAACACAGCTTTTAAGAGCAGCTATTTGTTCTTTTGTGACCATGTAACATCTTTATTAGATTTTCACTATGAGGTCTCCACAAAAAAAATATTTAATATCCAACTGTACGTGTACAGCTGATAAGCCCTAACTATATAATATGCTTATAAAAATGTAAATGTTGTATTTGATTCCTAGATTTATTAACAAAATTAGAACACAAGCCACTTTTAAAGGTGAGGTGTGAGTGTCACTAACATAATGCTACCTCCTGTGTGAGACACATAATCTACCACCCTCTCATTACCAAATAGCTAGGTAATCAGTATTCCTGAAAGACTGGTTCTTAGGATAGCTTCCTCACAGGGAGGAGAAACTCAGTTTAAATATGATGCATCAGGGATGACAAGGAAGGAATTTCTACTGGGTGCTTTCCTCTTTCCCAAAGGCAAATTCAAAGAAAAATTTTACAACTGAGGAAAAGAGCAACCTAACTAGCTTCTCTCAAATTACAGAAAAAGGATCCAGGGATTCCTGGAGACTGACAGAGTATATGGAATATGCATGTGGACTGACAAATTCTCTTTACAACTCACAGTCTTATATTTAAATTGGGAAATACCCAATAATTTCCACACTCTTTTTAGAAATGGCTGTATTATTTAAACCTTCCAAGATTTTTTAGTGTTAGAATGGCTTTTAATTTGGACATATTCTTTGTGTAGATGTTCAATTACAATGTGACCTTCTGATAGCTGCATTAGATTATTATAATTAGGTAGATAGATATCAAGTGATGTGTTTCAGCATGTATTTATTCTCAAAGGAGATACTACTTTAAGGACACAAGCCCTGGGAGAGCCTCACCTATGAGAGTGAGAAAAGGAGAAAAATTTCTGTTGAATTTCTATTTAAGACTGGATGGATCTCCAAGGAATGAAAGTATGAAGGAAATCTGTTCACGTGTGGACATGTAAACATGACTTCTTGTGGTAAAATGAAAAATATAAAGAGAAAAGGAGACCTAAGTTCTAGGTCTTTTTTTTCTTAACAGGTAGAAAAAAGTTTAGGGATGCCTGGGTGGCTCAGTAAGTCAAGTGTCTGCCTTGGGCTCAGGTCATGATCCTAGGGTCCTGGAATCGAGTCCTCCATTGGGCTCCCTGCCCAGCAGGGAGCCTGCTTCTCCCTCTGCCTGCCGCTCCCCCTGCTTGTGCGCACGCACTGTCTCTCTGGCAAATCAATAAATAAAATCTTTAAAAAAAAAGGAAAGAAAAAGGTTTAATTTCTCAAAAGATACAGCAAAACCTAGAGCTATAAGTCTAAAAGAATACCAAAGTGTATCTCAGATCATCCCTTACAAACTTAAAATTCCTATTAATCATCATCTGAAGACAGCTATTGACCACCTTCTTCGTAATTCACACACTCTTTTAACGATATATTCTAGAATCTCAGTCTTCATCTGAGTGGCTCTATATGTCAATTATAATTCTTAACTTATACCTCTGAATCCCCTTTAGGAATGTAGTCATGTTACATCCTCCTATTTTTAAAACTTGAAAAAAAATGTATGCCTTTCAATTCACAGCTGTGCCTTCCTTCCATAATTTAGGACGGAAATTAGGAAATTCGGGAGAGAATTAGGAAAACCAACTTCTAATACTTACATGATTTTTTTGTGTTTTGAAACAATGAATCTGTTTATATTTCTCTGCCTCTTCATAACTGTTTTTTGGGTTCAGATGGCATCTGCTTAAAATACCTAAGATTAAGCATGGATTCTAAAATATACCATTAAGGACTTGCTTTCCAAGGTGACTTGTCAAAATTGCTTGCATGCTGAGAGGGCAGGTGACCAGTATCAGGAAGCAGGTGTTATGTTCCTGTGTGTGTAGCTTAGCACCTCAGCCCTGCAGCCCCATCTACCATCCAGCAGGATTCCAAGTCTACCTCACTCAGGTCTGTACTTAGCACTCACTCCACTTGAGCTCCTACACAATCTGTGGCCATCTTTTTCTCAACAAGGACAGTGTCAGGAATTCAGCTGGCTGAGCTTTAGGCTAAAACAAGACATGAGCTGAGAGAGCAGGACAGCTCAGCATGTCACATTCTCACAAAGGTCCCAATCATCAGTACGTATGTAATGCCTGTACTGTTGTATTATCAGATGGGCAGGAAAAATCACTTCCACCTCACTTCTCTTTCTTACTTAAAGGATAACTGACTTGCATATATGGAACAAATCTGTAAATTAAAACATTCCTAAAACTACAAAACACTAGATTCTATGTTCTAGAATGTGAACAAAAAAATCCATATGAAAATATTTTTGAATACCTAGGAAGTGTGTGGAAAGAGAGAAAAAGAGAATGACTAAATTAATAATGCTAAAACTAAAACCAGTCATTAGTCAGTGTCCATCAGCAAAATAAAGTCAAGAGTAACACAGAAAAAAAAGAGATACAGTCATTGATGATTCTACTGGAAAATGCACTGTACATGCCTAAGGTATTTCTAGCCATTGCAAATATTTAATAAATTCCCTGTTTTCTGTGTAAGAAAACATTTCTTTAGTTACTGACAAAGTTTTACCAAAAAAAGGATGCAGTCCTCAACTGATTTTTAGGTATGAGGCATGCAACTCTGTGATGACTGAGAAATTATGAAAGCTACCAGAACAGGCTGCATATCACAGCTTAGAGTCATCTTAGATAAAGAACCTTAAAAATTGTAATAAGAGGGGCGCCTGGGTGGCTCAGTTGGTTGGGCGACTGCCTTCGGCTCAGGTCATGATCCTGGAGTCCCGGGATCGAGTCCCACGTCGGGCTCCCTGCTCGGTGGGGAGTCTGCTTCTCCCTCTGACCCTCCTCCCTCTCGTGCTCTCTATCTCTCATTCTCTCTCTCTCAAATAAATAAATAAAATCTTTAAAAAAAAAATTGTAATAAGAGCTGAATGATCTAATGTAAGAACATAAGGGCTCCTCCACTTTACTTCTGGAACCAAAAAAACCCACAGCATTAAAAAATGTTAAAGTTTACATTTGAAATGACAAATGCAAGAGTAGTTTAGAAGAAAATTATATGTTTTATGTCTGGATCCAAAAGCTCTTCCAAAGGCGACTGATTTTTAAAGTGAAAATATGCCATCATAAAAAAAAAAAGCTTTTCTCCAGGAATATTTTAGTTTCACTTTTTCTCTACAGTAGAAATTGGCAGCAGAAAAGAATTTTGAATATTAACAACTGAATCAAATAAATATCTAGCAGATAATTTACATAATAAACTGATTAACAAAAAAAATCATTTTTCCCACAGCAGTTGTATATTTATTGTGCTGAAATCAGGTAGCAGGGAATGAACAGGTCTGGGGAATCAGTACAGAATGTTCACAAAGATTTACAAATCTCTAGTCATTACACACAGAGCAGCAAAGACAAAGGTGTCGAATCCTTTCAGGTCAAACCATTGTAAGTGTTGCAAATAGTCTGTATTTTTCATGACTGCATGCCTTCGGGGGGAAAAAGTGTGTAATTTTAATGCACAATAAATATTTTATAGTTTACAAAATATTCTAAAATAGTTTGTCTGCACAAACAGCATACATACTGCACATGCAGTTTTGACATGTTGAGATACTTAGAAATATTCATGCTTTTTTTTTTTTTTTTGGTCACATTTTCTCTTTCTGTAATGATCCCTGGTCAACATCCCTTAACACTTCAACCTATGCAATAAGACAATGTACAAGTTCTCTTTGCTAGTGTATTTCCAGTTGTTCATTTATATTACATGAAACACTTCATTTGTAAATAGTAAACTTCATTTTCTGGTTCTGACTACTCTTATTTTTATTCATTTTTTGTCTTAACAATGAACACCATGTAACAATCACACACTAAATTTAATGATCTTCAGCACCAAGGAGTCAAGAATATTGCACCAAAATGGGTTTACACTTCATATCTAGTTAATAAATAAGATCTTGCAACTTTGTCGTAAGGAAACTATCACTCCAAAACTAAACATATTGAAAGAGAAGGATAGTTTCACAGAAAAATTGGGTGTATGCTATTTGTAAAAAAAAAAAAAAAGCAAAAAAATACTAGCGGATTCGGAAGTTAATATTAAAATTTACATTAGAGGACTCCTTGATTTTTTAATTAAAATTTATTTAATTTTAAATGTTCTTTCCAACAGAAGAGGTAGGTATATTTCCACATATGAAAAATCGGTAACAGCCACAAATCAAAACAAGGAAAGCCTGATAAAAATCAACATACTCTCTTCTAACAGCACATAAATGTAACTCTTTTATGATGTTACTAATAAAGACGAGTTGTTTCATGTTCCAATCAGACAATAATCTTAATTTTCATAATATATTTCTGATAGTAACAGGAGTATTGAAAGGCTGCCTTTTCATCACAAAAATTGTTTCCCACAGTGATTTGTGCCGCAAGTCATGGTGACCTTTGGGTCGCTAGACAGGATTTTACTGTAATTCTTTCTTATTTTCACCAACACCATCATCATCATGCCTCTAAGAATCTACAGAGATCATCAGATTTTTTTAATTTAATTACAACCAAAAGGGTATATTCAGACTAGAGGTGGAGAGATTCGACCATTCCAGTCAGCAAATGAATTCAAATGTGCAAATTTTAAAGTATCTACAGTTCCAGCTTTGGACCAGAAAATGTAAGGTAACTGATTGTAATCAGTAGGTAATACTAATTTAGCCAAAAAATTCATACTGTGTTTCTGTGATCATCAGACTGAAGAATGTATATAAGATACATGAAAAATCTCATGCTTTAGACAAATGGATGTGAACAGAGGGAGAGCCTCCAAAGTCACATAATGATTGCTTTGGTCTGGACAACATCAAGGCTAATAAAAAAAAAATATTTAAAATAAAACTTCATAAATAAAAATCCGGGCATTGTATTTAACACTTTACTCTATCTAAAGGTTACTAAGACATAGAGCCCATTTGCCTTTTTCTCTCCACCTCCAAACCCTCATTTGCTTCTGTTTTCCCTGAAATTTTATATGAAATGGGAACTTCCTCACTGTCAACAACAGTTAAGGCCCAGTTCAATTTACTCTCCTTTTGCTTTTCCATTTTTCTGCTTTTTTCCATTTTCTAGTTGTTTCTCTGATTTGCTCACACCATTTGCTGAAATACCATTCACAGCTGTTTTTCCAGTTTTTGCTTTCTTAGGCTCTTTGTATGTCCGAACATAGAAGTTAAGAAAGAGAAATATGAAGCTGATCGCGTAGGCAATGAGGGCCCAGTGCATCCATTTTGGGAAGGGACAATCTGTGTAAAGAGACAGCGCTGTGTGTCCAATGGTCACATGGAACTGAACCTGAAAAACCAAACAAAAATGTAGGAATTGTAAGTAACTTCTAACAACATCAGAATCTTCTATCTAGCTAAGATAGGCCCAAATCTTGCCACACTGTCCAAAGTCCAATAGACTCCAGCTCCCTTTCATCCATCAGGTTGCAGCTCAGATGTCATCCCCTCCGCAAGGGCTTTCTGCCAGCTAGGACAAAGGAACTCCATCCAGCTGGCCTTCTCAATCCCATTAATGAGGGCTTTTGTTTGGTGTGGGCTTTTTTCTTTATAACAAAACTATCTGGACTTCTTAACTTCTTGATTGTCCATCTTCCCACTAGTGTATAACTTCAGAGGGTACGGCTCTGTGTTGCTCCATGAGGAGTCCTTGGCACAGGGTCTGGATTCAATGAGTATTTGCTGGATAATGTTGAATGGTGTTATTAATGAGAGGGAATATCAATGGCCTAAGAGAATAAACTAATAGTACCATATACTCTTTTTGATATTTGTTTTCCTCCCACATTTTAGACTGACTTTTTTTCCACAAAACTATCAGTGGAATGGTACATATACTTTTAAAAATGAGCCTATTGAAAGTGTTCATTATTTATTTCTTACAAAATAGCACACAGGTAATACTGTATTTGAATTAACACTATCCTTGGGGCACCTGGAAGGCTCAGTCAGTTAAGCGTCCAACTCTTGATTTCAGCTCAGGTCATGATTTCATGGGTCATGGGATCAAGCCCTGTGTAGGGCTCCATGCTCAGCGTACAGTCCCTCTCCTACCCTCCCACCCACCCCCTGGCCCCATGTGCTCGCTCTCTCTCCCTCTCTAAATGAATTAACACTATCCTTTACAAATTAAGATTTTGGGTAAAATTCAGTAGATGTTTGAGAACAAGTGCAAAAAGACTCACTTTCAACTTTAAAAGTTTTTAAAAGAAGAAAAGCCAAAATTAAGATGCTTTGTAATTCAGATAAGGCAAATCAGTTGAAATTCCAATATATCAATAAATGAGTGGTTCTCAATATAAGAATTATGAATTCCACAGTGTTAACAAGGGTTAACTTTTTACAAGATTAACTTACATGATGAAATGTTGTGAGAACTTCTGGCTTAGAAATATTCAATTCTTCATGAAACTAACATCATATTTGGAATGGGCAATTGTGTTTTCTCTTTTAAGCATAGCATTACCCATATTAATTATTATATTAAATATGATTAAATTCATTTATTCCTTGTAAGCCCCAAATTTAGATCAGACTAAAAAACTTTAAATTCTCCATGGTAAAATCCAGATTTTAAGAACTTTTGATTTGACAATGGTTCTTAGAACCTAAGTCACCAAAAGGGTTATGTATATATGTGTGATTAAGTATGACAACTATATAAACAGCTTACATAAAAACTGGAGGAAGTTTCCTGTAGCATTTTAGTTACAAATGAATCTTTCCCACCCAGCATTCCCCAAAAGTTGTGTTTCCTGTTCGGCCAGCCAGCTGTTTAGCAACTTAAAGCAGAGATGAATAGCATTTCCAAATGTGATCCCACTGATAAATTGTGCACATGCTATGATTACAGCAAATTATAATAAATTCCAAGGCTTGAAGAACAGCGACCAGGTTGGTGTGGATTTCTACTTTGATGACGGGGCTAGCACCTTGCTTGAATGTTTCACTGAGGTACCCAGATGCTACAAGAAGTCCCACGAGGGGTATGTGCTGAAAACTGTCTGCTCTAAAGGCTAGGATTTGAGAATACCTAGCTCTGCTCTCTAGGACTGTGTGTTAGAGAATTAAGAGGAGTTCTCTAGTCTTTGCTCCCTTCCTTTATCCCACCCTTTCCTTGGTTGTGTGCCTTCTTTTCAACTTTTATATCCTAAATGTATGGGATCTGTTAACAAGGACTGAAAAATAGAATAGAAAACAAAATTCAAGCAAGAGCAGGATGAAGAGAGGTAATAATAACATTTTAAGTTAAAAAAAAAAATCACCTGACGAGAACTTACATTATTTTTCTGGTCATATATGAGTCTATGTACTTTACGGTGTGTGCTTATTAGATCTTGACTCATCCATTTCACAGAATATTTTTAAAGAACATTTCTCTTAGACAAGAGTTGTGTTTAGTCTTTTAAGAACATTAAAAAAGGGCGCCTGGGTGGCTCAGTTGGTTGGGCGACTGCCTTCGGCTCAGGTCATGATCCCGGAGTCCTGGGATCGAGTCCCACATCGGGCTCCCTGCTCGGCGGGGAGTCTGCTTCTCCCTCTGACCCTCCTCCCTCTCGTGCTCTCTATCTCTCATTCTCTCTCTCTCAAATAAATAAATAAGATCTTTAAAAAAAAAAAAGAACATTAAAAAAATTAGTGGCAGTGACAACTAGGTCTATGAACAAGAAGCTCAGAGCCAAGCAGCCTCAACTCCCACAGCTGGAGCACAGAGAAAGTCAACTTTGTAACAGAAAATTGTTTAAAATTAGTAAATTCAAATATTTGCAGTGTTTCACCAGAAGCAACTTTAGAAGCATTTAACTCACCAGCTGCAACATGGTCAAGTATCGTTTCCACCAAAGATACTTCTGAATCCATGGGCCAAACGCAGTTAACCCGTAGTATGAGTACATAATCACATGGATGAAGGAATTCAGCTGTGCTCCAAAAAATGCTTCAGAAAAACAGAATTATAAGATACAGAAAATTTTAGTAGGCAATAAGCCATCTGGACATAAAATAAATGAATCCACATTATTTTCTAACATTTAATCTTGAGTACAGATTAGGAATAAAAATTGTAAAGTAGTAATAATGGAAAAGACTTCTCTTCATGTCACATTAGGTATTTTTAAAGTTTAGACTCAGGCTTTTAGCCTATAAATAAAAATGAGTGTTCTTCAAATGCAAAGGGCTTTCACAGTGGCAAGCTTCCAAATGGAGTACCCCAGTGACTTAAGTATGCCATAATATAGAAACTACTGCCTGTATTATTCTCGGGGAAAAAAGTCATGGTACATATAACTGTTTAAATAGATTTTTAATGGGGCACCTGGCTGGCTCAGTTGAAAGAGCATGGGACTCTTGATCTTGGTGGGAGTCGTAAGTTCAAGCCCCACGTGGGGTATAGAGATTACTTAAAAAAATAATAATAAGGGGCGCCTGGGTGGATCAGTCGGTTAAGCGTCTGCCTTCGGCTCAGGTCATGATCCTGGGGTCCTGGGACTGAGCCCTGCATTGGGCTCCCTGCTCAGCGGGAAGTCTGCTTCTCCCTCTGACCCGCCCCCCTTTCACACTCTGTCTCTCTCTCTCTCACTCTCCCAAATAAATAAAATCTTTAAAAAATAATAAAATAAAAAGGACCTTTTAAAAAATAGATTTTTAAAGCCTCATTATTGCCTTCAGATGGCATACCAATATATCAACATAAACATATCAACATACACATATCAACAACAAAATAGTACTTATTTCTTAGGGTTCTAAACAGTTTTAACAAAAGTAGAAGGTACACTGTACTACTATAATGACCTGTAACCTGGGTCCCCAACAGAGAAATAGTCTGTTTCCAGCTCAGTGATGTAAATCATCTTCAATTTACAGGCATCTGAAAAGCTGAAGACATACCTTGAACAAACTGTGAATTCAGATCCTCTTTGACAAGGCTATTTACAATTTCCTTTGAGTAAGAACCAACAGGTTCATTTAAGGCCCATTTTAGAGCAAGAGTGGGCTCTGGGCTTCGACTGGTGATGGAGGCTTCAAACTGAGAAGTTAAAGCTTAGTATCCTTTGTCTCTCTCTCTTTTTTTTATTTAAGTAGCCTCCACACCCAGTGTGGAACCCAATGCAGGGCTTGAACTCACGACCCTAAGATCAAGACCTGAGCTGAAATCAAGAGTCAGATGCTTAAGGCGCCCCTAGCTCAGTATCCTTTGAGTCAGAACCACTATAACTGCTCCCCATCAAAAATTATTTGCTACGTTTAAGATTAGTTTATGCTTATCTCTGAGGTAAATCTTTAGGTACTTAAGTAGCCACAGATAAAAAGCCAAAACTTTTCTTTCTTCAAATTTCTTTAAAATGAAATTAACACAGAAATAATTAACTATGCAAGCAAGTTAAAGACCAAGTCAAATTTCCAGCTTCTCATTACTTTTCCACCCAATACATATACATAATTTAATATATGCAGATATGTCCCAAAATACTCACCTTGTCCCCCTGCGACCCATTTAATTCCAATCCACCACAATGTAAACATTGTACAGTGATGATATACATGAAGGAAAGAGACTTGGTTGTTTTTCTTCCTCAGGATAAAAAACACGGTGTCCAAATACTCAACCCCTTTAGATACAAAGTACCACCACAGAGCAGCAGCTATCTATAAAAAGAAAGGAAAAGCATGTTATAAATACCAGAGTGACACTATCATATGGTTTTCTATTTATTGTTAAGTTAGTCCTAAACAATCTTTATTGCACAAAATGTACAAGGCATGGAATCATTTTTGCCTAAGTAGGTGTGAAACCTAGGCATCTATCCATGGGGAAAAAAATGGGAAAGAAAGAGTCCAAGTCTATATTTACCCAGTGGCAACGATTTAGAGAAAATTTTTAGTCTTTTACATAGCTAGATGTCATGAAGTACCAAACTGCTGAACACAGAGCTATAAATACCTTCACACTGCTATGTTTTTCAATGTGGCAGAAAAATCCGAGATATTTACTTTGTAAAGGTATTTCAGTTGTTCATGCTTAGCCTATACTATACCTCAGATATTCTTGCAAGTATGTTTGTGTAGCAACTGGTCTCTGTTAGCTTTGGTCTCTCACTTTAACATGTGCAACAAAATAAATACCTAACCACAGTACTTTGTATTAGGCGGTAAAATCTTTAAAGTGGTAAACTAAAACACACACACAAACAAAAATAACAAATATTTCCTAGGTCATAAATATAATCCTACTTACATGAATAAATCCTTTCTTTTCCTAGGCTCTAATTAAGACACCAGATGGTACAGAAAGATTAGGTTACATGCTGAGATTAAGGATCCAAGGATCCAGTGAGAGGTGACCTCTGTAAATGTTTTAAAATATTTTACAAGAACCCTACTGTAAGAGTAAACTAAACTCAACGTTTTTTATGTTACCACTCTCTATGATGTGTGTCCTATGTACAAACAACAAAGAAGACAGTATATAACTGAAATCTGTTTATAAATCTTTGTATGTCAAGGGTGACTAGAAAGTAAAATATAACATTATATTACCAATGGTTTATTTTTCTGCAAATATAATAAAAACTGAGTTTATACCTATACAACTGTGCTATGCTTAACTTACTAAACATTACATAGTTTATACAACATTTGTTTTTCCTCAGACTCTTAACAAATGAATTAGACTCTATGAGTTTCTATTCTTGACCCAAAACACAAAAATCCAAAATATCATCTTTACATTAAACATGGAAATTTTTTTTCCATGTTTCCATGTTTCCATGTTTCTTAAGTACTGTATTCTAGTAATCCAACACATATTCACTCTCACACAAATAGGACACTATAGCTATGAAAACATTTTCAATTATGTACTTTTAAAGAAAAGCATAGCTTTACTGACTCAACACAATCCTATACACTTTTACCACTCTATGAAAGTATGTTTTTCAGAGTGGGGATTATAAAGTTAAACCCACTTCTACTGATGAATGGTATTTTGAATGTACTTACCCTAACTTCATTAACATTATCAGAATAATCCACACTCTGGCAAATATAGCTGTATCCTGCATTATATGATCCCATGAATAACTGGAAAAAAAGGGGAATAATATTTAAAATAAGGTTTTAGCAGATATAGAATTTAAAAACACTAAATACAATATGCAACCTTTCAAATTATTTTAAAGAGCAATTTTATCTAAAAAAATTGAAATTCATTAAACATTTAATGTGTTGGGAGTTTCTAAAATTTGCTGTGTGTCAATTTATTCTAAAATTGGAATCTAAATTAAAAATCACATGTAACTCTTAGCCGAGACTTCAACTCTTATCTACTTTATTATATCAAGAGAAATTTTGATTAACCATGACTCAGATCCAACAGGTGCATTGATTTCTATTCTTGATCCAATGTGGTTTATATCTAACAAATGAGGTCAAAGTATCCAAATAAATTAAAGTTTTTATGAAGCTGGGATTCTATAGACTAAGTTGTCAATTACAGATTTCTTTAAAGGAGAGTAGTGTTTATTTTCCTAGCATCACCAGTCCAGTTCCCTGGGTTCATACAGAATTTTAATGAGGAATCTCTTGGGAAACAAATTCCTTCCACTTGGGAAAAAAATTCCTTCCACTCTTACAACTTAAAAAATGCCTATGTCAATCTAACCTTTAGGATTTCTTTTCAGAATGTCATGGAGAATTTGCTGGAGTCCAGAAAAGTACAAGATGATTAGCAGCAACAGTGTATAACAGTTAGCTCATTTTTGTTCCAACCCAAAATACAATGATATTATGTAATAGGATTTAACTCGAAATCAGTATTTTACATCTGCATATTTTGATCAAAATATGACCAAACCTGAAACTGCTGAGTAAGAATTATAAATAAAGAGCTACAACTATTTACTGACTGCTTAATATGTGCCAAACACTCTGAAAAAATTATTTCACTTATCTCTGATCTAGAAGGCAGGTATTTATCCCCAGTTTACAGATGGGGAAAATAAGTCTCAGAAAAGTTAAATAACTTCTACTGTCAGTTAATAATGGTTATTTTGGAATCTAGTGTGTCTGCTTCAACATTCCATTTTAAATAACTGTCCTATACTTTCCATATGTTTCATATTTTTGTTATCCAAACATAAGAATGTCAATAAAGTAAAATTTACTTTTAGAGTAGACAACAGTTATCTTGGGATACAATATACAATGATGGTTTTACATATTCTAATTTCTTAATTTTCAATAACCCTGGGGAATAATAAGGTGACTTTAGTAAACCTACCTCTCTGAAGATAAAAAGGTTAAGCAAAACCATTCCAAAATTATAGATAATGAGCACTAAACGCATCTGGAAAGGTTCTCGGTCCTTCATCCATTTTGGACCCAGCCACACGAACAGGAGATAAAGAGTACTTATACAAAGTGTAGGCCATGGAGACTGCATCAGAGGCCAATTCTCCACACGTTTATCTAGAGAGAACAAAATAACATTAAATTCATTAAGCAATAAATTTGTTTGGAATGATCGTGTTAGGAATTATAATATTTCAACTTAGCTTTTTTCCTAATTTGACCAAATGCGGATCAGTTTTCTTTGAGTCATGACAAAAATACATGGCATTAAAACTAAAGATATGAGACCAATTCTTGTGAGTAGCTTTTTGAAAATAATGCTTCATCACATACAGCACACATTAAGTTTTATAGAGTCCTAGAGAACAAAGACCAGAAGTAAACCCTGCTATAAATATAGGACAAGCTGGGCATGAAAAGTTGGTGAAGGACTACATAGACAGAACATAAGTATTTTAAGGAGACACTTGTCTTTCATATTAAACACGTGAAATGTATCAGTACAGTTTGGAAGCTGCGCCCTCCTTGCCTAAAGCAGGAGAAGAGTAGTAAACTGAAGAGGCAGAGCAATGGAAGCCATTCCCTGGAATATTTTTGGATACTGAGGACAACAGTACAGTTATATTTGGGGTAAAAATTAGGGGAATTACAGTTCTATGATTTCTTTAAATGAAAATCATCACATTCAAGACATTTTTCTTTTTCTTTGATAGCAAGAGCCTATTTAGCCATGAATATAACCAACTTATGTGCTTTTCTCTAAAGCTATAAGTGTTTACCTCATATGTGTGTAAATATTTCATTTAAAATGAGTCAACTGTCCTTAATATCAAATATGCAACCTTGAATCAATTTTGTAATAAGAGTTCCGCCACAAGTAACATTTCTAAGAGAAGAATGATAATGAAATATAGAAGGTTAAAAAAATTGTTTTCTAATACATTATAAAAAGATACTGAAATTTATATTTCTAAAACCTAAACAGCATTTTATAGGTTATGAATCTAATGTCTAGTTTATGCTTGGTAATGCAAAAACATTTCTATGTTCTATGCTGAGGAAAAGAACGTATTTTTAAAACAGCAACAACAACAAAAAATCCTACCTTTCAGTCAGTTCCTAAGAGCTAGCCTAAATGAATTTAACTTAATTTCTCATTACAATGTCCCACCATTTAAACTGTCAGCTTTACTAAAACTATACATGCAGAATAGCTCTGGATTAGATAATTTGGTTTCAAAATATCTTACTTAAAATTAGTCTGTTTCTATACACTATTGATAGAAAATAAGATAAAAGAAAGGAAACAGAAATGGAACGATGTTTAATCACACAGTCTCCAAAGTCAGGAAGTGACATTAACTATGTTTCTATAAAATAAGAGTTGTTAGATGCACTAGTGACTTGGAAGGAAAACAAGAAAAAACAAAAACTGATTTTATTTCAGAGTTTACAGGAGAGGCTTACTATCTATCTATTCATGGAAATTATGGTTCTGTCACTCAAATCAAAATATATTCCAGAGTTAAAAATAAACTAAAACACTTACACGACAAGACAGAATAATCCTCTTATGAGAGGGTGTGGCTTAAAAGATGAGTGGCTGACTTTTGTTGAAGGCATTGTACTACTATGGTCTTATCACTGATTGTTTGCTTTTCTTTATTATTGTCATATTATCCTGCTATGTATCTCTCTATGACAAAGTCCACCTTAAAACATGGGGTATTTATCTACTTAGATATTTATTTTCTATAGGAAAAAACCTTAAGACAAACTTCTAAATCCTGAAGCCCTGTTCTACTTACTTCAGGAACTAGAGTAGCTGTGGCTTCCTATTCCTATCCAGAAACTAGGGGGTAGACAGTTTTTTCCATGCGTTTGATACAAAGAGCAAAAGGATTCTGTTATAAAATAATCCTATGTAACAAAGAAAGGAATATAAATTCATCAGTAAAGAGATTCTAATTTCTAATATCACAGATTATATCACAATCTTTTTTTTAAAAAAGATTTATTTAGAAAGGAGAGAGCACGTGCGAGTGGGGGGAGGGGCAGAGGGAGAGGCAGAGAGAGAATCCTCAAGCAGACTCCCCACCGAGCACAGAGCCCAACGTGGGGCTCGATCCATCGCGATCTGAGCCAAAATCAAGAGTCGGCTCAACCAACTGAGCCGCCCAGGAGCCCCAATTCTATCACTCTTAATCACACACAGAATTCCTGCTGACTTCAAAGTAAGTTCTGAGCAACAAGTTGAAAAAAATGAGAGAAACAGGTAAAAAATTTTCCCAATCTCAAGAATAAATAAAAATGCTCATTCTTTTTGATGTATAGTGTGATTAGCCCATGCCATTCTCTCCTTCAACAGAGAAGTTTAAAGACAGAACTAAGAAAGACAGTGAGAGGAAGAGACATGAGTAAGAAGCTGAAGATCTGACAATATGAAACACTAACAGAGGCCAACAGAAGAGTAAAAAGGTAGAGGGGAGTAGATAAGAAATAACAGAGATATTAGAAAAGACATTCTAGACTCTATCAGTAAACAGACGGGCTGAGTTTTAATATCAGCTCTGCTACTGTGCAGAGGACTTAAAGGGCACAATCTGTCTTCATCCCTTCATCTATAAAACCTGCTGGAAAGAAAGGGAATGGGTTAGTGCTTCTCCAACTTGAATGAGAAAAAGAATCACAGGGGAGAGGGGCATAGTTAAAAGGTAGGTTCTGACTCAGTAGGTCTGGGGTGCAGCTCATTTTTAGGAAGATTCTGCATTTTCTAAGAAGCTCCAACTGATGCTATGTCAGTATTCCATGGACCACCCTCTCAGTAGCAAGAAACTAGATAATCCTTTAGTTTTTTTTTTTAACTTCTGAAAATTGTTACTTTTAAAAATGATAATTAGGAGGAAGAATGGAATTGAAGGTGAGGAAAACTGGATCCAAAAAATGGGCAATTTTCATTGGTCAGGGGACCCACTGTGCATGCAAGTTCCTGCACATTTTTAAACCACTACAGCACTCATCACACTCTCCTGTGACTTTCCTTGAAAATGTAATCTCCCTGAAGGCAGGGTCTGGGTCTCTCATTCCTGTATTGCAAGGCTTATCAGAGTGCTTAAACAACATTTATTTGATGAATAATTGATGAGTGGGTAATTTTTTTCATATTAGTCCTTTATTCTCTAACCCTTCAAATAAAATCCAACAGTACGTTTATTGATATTCTGGGTTTCTTCGTAAAACAACCTTTTCCTACAGCTCTTCCTAGATCCTCCTTTATGCTGGCATACAACTTGAACCTGATGTCAGCAACACTTCAATCCAGTATTTAGGGGGTACATGTGTGCTCTCTCTATAAGGCACGCAGTGTCTTTACTTCATTGCTTTCTCCAGGGAAAAAAGGCAATGCCCCCATTTCTTTATCCAACAGTGTAAGTCATGCATTCAATAAGCATCTACTTAACAAAACCCTGTCTTCAGCCTATAAAAGGCCACAGTTCACACCATCTCTTTCTCAAATTAGCCCTTCAGCTCACGAGGGTCAGAATGCTCTTAAAAATTCCGCCTCCAATGAGCATTATGGAAGTTGTAGTAACTGTCTGCTACCTGAAGCGCAGCATCACAATCCCATCCTACGATGATATTCACATGATATTTCTCCAGGTCTTTGCAGTTATTTGTGTCTTTCTAAATTTGCATAAATTTTTCTTTAGTACTTCTGACAAAATTCAAATATCCATGCTTTTTACTTGTTCCCTTTTCCACTTAAAAGGGAATGAGAGTCACAATAGTGTCATACAATGATACGAAAATTTACTGTTAATAACAGGTCCCCTGCAAGTCTTGACCCCAAAAAAAAGAAAAGAAAAAAGATGTGGAATTGTGGAATTAGAACAGTAAAGGAAAATTATGAATACTGAAGCTTTATGTATTTTATATAACCTTAAAATAATGAATTATCCAGCCTTTCATGAACTCAAATGTTTCAATAACATATTTTTATATATTGCCTTTCTTCAACAAAGATGTATTTGCTTAGATTCCCCTCCCCCGTTTTATTGAGACATAATTGGCAAACTTCACTGTGTAAGTGTAAGGCATACAGCATGATGGTCTGATTTACACATGATGTGTGTGAATGAGTTCCACAATAGGTTCAGCTAACATCTATCTTATTCATATAGATACAACAGAAAGAAAAGAAAGAAGAAAAGAATAAAGGAAAAAAATGTTTTCCTTGTAATGAGAACTCTTAGGATTTACTCTTAACAACATTCCTGTGTATCATACAGCAGTGTTCTAGTCATCATGTTGTTCAGTATATCCCTAGTGCTCATTTAGTTTACAACTGGAAGACTGTACCTTTCGACCACCTTTCTCCAACACTCCCCGACCCCCCTCCACCTCTAGTAAGGACAAATCTGATCTCTCTTTCTATGGGCTTTATTTGTTTCAAATAACAAATTTCAGGGGTAAATTAAATCTTCTTAATTTACTTAAATTTGAGTTAAACTGAATCCAAATATAGATTATGCACATTAAAGTAAAAAGAAGACATATTTCCAGTATACTGTCAGTATCTGAATTCTACACAGTTATTTTTTTAAAGATTATTTATTTTTGAGAGAGAGAGAGAGAGAGCACAAGCAGTGGGGAGGGACAGAGGGAGAAGCAGACTCCCCACTGGGCAGGGAGCATGATGCGGGACTGGATCCCAGGACCCTGGGATCATGACCTGAGCCGAAGGCGGATGCTTAACCAACTGAGCCAAACAGGCGCACTCTACAGTTATGAACAGGATTCCATATCATGAATTTATTAGGGAAAAAAAAAGAAAGAGAAAACAATTCAATTGAAACCTTATTCTTCCTGCCACCACTGAAGTCAAACTCTGTCGTCAAGGAATACCAAGATTCAAACGGGTTTTATATAACATTCTTAGGAATTCTCTATTTGCAAAGCTTTGGGGTGGGGGAAGGATCAATATGGCACAAATATAAATTAACGCTAGTTGATTTATTTGTCAAATTGTCCTATATTTTATAACTATTATTATGTTAACATATTTATGCCTTCATGTGTTAGTGATTTTGCCCCTATTTTGAGCTTATTAACAATTT